TGGGAACTTCGGTTGCCAGTAAACCTGATAACAGGACACCCACCTAACGAAGAGTTGCCTGACAATGTGTCAGAATTCGTGAAAGTGTTATTGGAACGGATGGACGATATTCACCATCAAGTGCGTTCAAACTTGAAAATGTCTGCTGATTCAAGGAAGCTATGTTATGATAAGAGATCTACTGAAGTCAGCTTTGTACCAGGAGACAAGGTGTGGTTGTATAATCCCAGGAAGACCAAAGGGAAGTCTCCTAAGTTGTCATCTCCATGGGAAGGCCTATATGACATAGTGCATCGTCTCTCAGACGTGACTTTCCGCATAAAATGTGGGCAGCGAGGTAAGCCAAAGGTGGTGCATGCCAACAGGCTTTGGCATTATCATGGTCCAGGATCTTTCAGTTGGGACGAAGTGAACAACAGAACAAAAGACACCGCTGAAGACGTGTCACCTGGAAAAGCCAGTGTCGAAGAAGAAACTCTACTCGGTTTTGAGAAGGGAAACAGTGAAGCCCTTGATGAAGTTACTATCACTGATGTGACTGTTACCGATGATAGGACAATTCCCGATGGAGCATATGAACCCCACGTGAAGCAGAAGCCAACGAGATGGAGACCAATACGGAAGAAGATACGTCCCGTAAAATTAAGAGACTTTGTTGAATTCTAATTTTGTGTTTGTAGTGTTTGTAAATCCTGTACATTTAATTAAGTTATTGTTAATTATCTATTGGTTTTATGTAAGTGGCTATTGTTCGGGGACGAACAATACTAAGGAAGGGACAGCGTTATGAGAGCAGAAGTCACGTGACACTAGTAACACGTCATGATATTCTCGAAAGTTCGTGAATGGTTGAGTGTTTACAGATGTGCGGTATTCTTGTATATAAGACCGCCAAGAACTGATGGCAACAATGGAATTGAATTGTGTTTGTTTAAGTTAACTAACTGTGGAATTAAGTGTATTGCAAAGTTGTATTGAGAAAGAATAAACTAGTTTTATTTAAGGAAGGACTTGTATTGCTGAAGTTTTTCGGAAAGAATTAACAAACGAACAGAGACATAACAATATAAAATGTTTTGCTTAATATGGAATGAAACATCTAATAAACATGGTATCATGCTATTTGTCATTATAGCTGTTCACATACATAAAACAAGTAACTTTAATGACTGGCCTTCACCAATTATGTAACTCTTTCTATCAATATGGAAAAAAAATCAGAAATTTTACTAACTAGTGTTCAGAAAAGAAATATTAACCTGAAACAGCTAAACTAACCTGAAATTCTTCACAGGAAAATACAATAACCTATAACCTCAGTGTTTTAGAAAGGAGCATCTTTCTTCTTCAGGGACAATTCTTTACAGATTTTGGATGCAGAAACTTGGTACAGTATTCAGCTCTTTGATCTTACATGGTGTGTAAGCAGAATAAAAGCTGTGTAGATCATTTACTATTATTTACTTTCTAGCCTAAATATGGTGAAATCAACTATTTGACATGAAATATACTGACAAAAGTAAAAACAGATAAATTAATGTACAGCAATGTGCATGGTTTCCACTTTCTCAGAATTAAGTTTGGTAACTTGTATGTCACATCAGTTGAAAAAAATATTTTATGATGTTTTCCATCAGAAGATAATTTGTAAGCTCATGGAATCATTACCTGTACAGACAGGAAAATTGTCCCAACAACTGTCAGTATCAGAACAATCAATATAACACCAATACTGGTGAAAGTATCAATGGACCCTTCCAGTACAGCTATCACCTACAAAGAGAAAAATAACCCTGAGATTAACATTTGTATCTGTTTTGGTTTTGTTTTCATTCAAAATTATTCCTCATAACTCTTGAATATTCTTCTTTATTCTCATGTAGTCCCTTTTAAAACTTAACTTTAATATGCAATATCCAACTTAAATTACACAGATCATATCATTCACTCAGCATTCAAAATCTCCTGAACCATGGTTCCATTCTATAACAAATGTTTGTTGATTACTGATCGCATTTCTAAATCATTACAAATATGTATATGCACACATGTAAAGTAAACTACATTTTCTGCTTTCAGTATGTTATTTCTTGCTTAAAAAAAATGGAAATATTAACTACAGCAACAATTTATAATTTCTAAAATTTCTGTAATTATAGAAAGATTGTACTGTATTAAGTGTTTTAAAGTGTATTTTAAAAAGAAATGATTATTAGTAGTTGAGTATTTATATAAAACTGTTACAGTCTTATTATTTAAACTTTGATAATCAAATACTTGTTACTGATTTGGATGGTGATAAGAGTACTTAATACTGTACATAAGTAACAAAATATTTGTCCTGCTGTCAACCAGAAGTGTGATGCTTAATTGATATCCCCTTCCACAAAAAAAAATAATAATAATTCTTATAAGCAGAATCCTGAATACTTGTGAATATGTAAACTGAGTAAATTGTAGTTCCCTTAATCTTTCTCACTCTTTCTCAGAATATCTATTGCTTCACAGGTTTGTGAAAATGAAAAATTAAGTAAGGCCTTGATTGCTTTGCCCAGGATGAATATGACTTTTACAGAGGCTGAAAAAGCTTTTAGGGAAGACTTTGATTCAGATTGATAAGAAAAAGTGCAGTCAAGCCCCATAAGGTTTAACCAACAATTTCAAAGAAAATCTTTTATATTTTCTTATTTTGGTTGACAACAAATAATGCATTCAGAAGGTAATCTTAGTAATAATTTATGTCTTTATCTTGCATCTTGATTGTGAAATATATTTTAAGCTTCATGATGTCATCTATAAGACAGTTCAAGGAATACAACCATAGAATGCCATACACGGTTTGGCTATTCTCTTGAAGTAACTACCAAATTCTCTTTTAAAGCATAAAGTGTTAACTATTGTAACACCAAGGAACCATGCAATACCATTATCTTCCCAGGTCTTCATGTCAGCAGTGTTATCTATTGCAGCATCAAGGAACAATGCAACAACATTTTCTTCTATGGCCTTAGACATTCTATATGCCCTGAATTCACTCACGTTTCTCTCTGTGGCAGAGCTTAAAGTTTTGTAGACAAATGGTGATACTGTAATTACAAAGATTACTCTGACCATCAAATGAAAGTCCAGTGCACATGCTTTGTTACTTTCAGCTTTACATGCTGATCAACTCTTTCAAACTTGCATTCACTATAGGGAATGACAGTTAATATTGGATAAGAACTGGGTGGCAATTGACCAGTATGGAATTTTGGCTTTGTGCAATGATGTGCATGCAGCATATCATTCTTTATAGCAACTTTTAAGCAATTTTATTGCTTTATTGTTGAAAAGTCATCAACCTTTCCCATGTTAAGAGCTTGGGTAATATGGAATAAATAAGACAAGTTACTCAGTAGCAAGGCAGTGTACAACTCTGATAAGTTAGCATATTCAAAATTGTTCTTCACTGAATTCACAGAACATAATCATAATGGCTATGTCATCTTCATTTTCACTAACAATCTCTGGCTCTGGTACTTAAGCCTGTTGGTAGTTGTCAACTGAGTGTTGACTCTTGATATCATCTAATGGTTTTATACCTATTCTGTGATGTGTTATGAAGAGAGTGCAAGTCTATTTATAAAGCAAATAAAAACATCCTAACTAGACAGTATTTGTTGAATGGATCACACTTAATGTGCATTAAAAATTAAAACAAAAAAGGAGTAATAATGAAAACTGATACCATTAGAAGTAATTCTGTCGGGTAACATTACTGATTTACTTCACTATGTATCCATGTTTTTTTTTGTGTGTGCGCGCTGGTCAGAACTGGTAAAACAACAAAGAATCTACTCCTAACAATCTCCATTTACAAAAATGTTGACTGACTTCTAATATCTTTACTGTTTTATCTACATATCTATTATACATTTGTGTATTATATAATGTTTGCAAGGTCTCTAATTGACTTAAATATAATGAACATGAATTTTAAAGTGTTCCCTACATAAAAATTAAACTCTCTCAAAGAAATAAAATGTACACAAGTTTTGGTAAATATTACAAGTGTACAGAATTATTTAAACAATAAGACCATTGTCAGATATAAGAAATTATGAGCTGTGTATAGAAATACTGTAGTTTAGCATGTATTTGTATATTCTACCCTAATATCCACAGAAGATTTATAATGTGATGCTTATGTTTAATCTAAATGCATTTAATCCTACAATATATATATATGAAAATACATTTCTAATGTATTTATGAAAAATATTTGAATAAAGGAACATATATATAAATGTAGCATACTCATATTAAATTCTTGTAGATAATAAAAAGTACATAGATATGGTTTACAACTTCATAAATATAAACTACCTTCCGGTCACCGCGAGCAAGCATCTTCCCCAAACCTCGAACAGGTGCAGGGATAAGAGCTTCCCTTCTACTTTGGCACCAGTCCATTCCAACTTTCCATGTAACAGAAATCTTTTCTTTGATGAAGTTGAATAACCCAAAGTGACAGCCTGGAGGTGTAATTAAATAAAAACATAATAAATGGCACACACACACACATATATATATATATATATATATATATATACTACCTCACAAATATACTTACAATAAGAACTAGTATAATTAGTGACTATTTATTAATAAATGCAGTATTAATTGTATTATATTTGTATTAATACTAATT